TTATTCAAAAGGGATAAGTTTTAACAACTAGATTGCCAAATTTAGACCTATTCTCTACAAATACAAATGTAAGTATCACATTAACATACTAGCTCAGAGGTTACAGATAGTTTGGCAACCAGCTGCCAGTGCCTTCTTGTTAATTTTAACAGAGATATTTTTACAGTGTATCAAGATCAAAGACAATAGACGAGGTACGGTGTCCGGTGAGGTGTACCGTGCGGAATAAAAGAATAGAAGAAGTGAACACACGCGGCACGGGTCCGGACACGGTGCGGATGCGATTCGTTTCATCTATTTTATGCAGTATGGATAATCTCGCACCGTACATTATTCGTCTATTCGCACATAAGGCGCAAAACATCACGTCAGTTTATATCTCTGACTTGTGGCACAGATCCCCCGCCATTGTGTTAATGATATTTGATACATTTCTACTATGTGTGTATTTAAACACGTAAATTAGACACAACCCCTCTCATTGATTTGAAGGAAATATTTCTGACACTTTCACAAACTCAAAACCTCTTTACTCATTCAATAAGTAAACAAACCAGGGCGTATCTCTCAGATTCTACATATTTCTACATATTAATTGACAAGACTTCATCTCATGGCATCAACCTGTGTTTAAGATAAAACATCCTAATCAGGATATATTTAGTAATATTGAAAATCCAATTAATATTCTATGTTTCGTTTATTTCTGAGGGATATATATCTAGATATATTTTTGGAAATAGTATATTTTCATCATGAAGGCTAACCGTTTACTTTACATAGCATTTGATTGGCCCCATTGGTGAACATGACTATCCTATAAATGACATAAGATCTGAAATGAGTCGAGGATAAAATGGAGAAAAGAACACACAAAATGGATCCATCCCAGCCTTGTCACTAACAAATAGGACACGAAAGTCACTTGGCATATATATACATGTATAATCAATGTGAATTTAAGATTTGTTTACATCCAGTTAGAACAACATTTACTCGACAATTAAAGCCAGAAAGTCAACGATAAACAGAATAAACAACCTCGAAACAGTCTTATTTATAGTTGTTGGCCTATAGAATGTGTCGAAATCGATATTTCTTGAACGACTTCAAATTTGATTGAAAATATACGTTATTGAAGCATTTTTGAAGCTTGAACTAATATTATTTGCAAAAACAGAGTGTTTTGTGTACGTCTATTACTATGGTATTGACTTTAAAACAATATATTAGGCAGTATAGCCTACATTTAAGCAATTATAAGTAATTACATTATCACAACTAGACAAAATCATAACGTTTTATTGTGTCCCACTAGCTAGCAAGTTGAATTGACACAATACTCGTTTTCTGTGGTCACATTATGCTCTCAGTTGACCTATAATCCGAGATGATGTCACATTGTTAAATCTTTTGATTCAGAATGTACTTATTCATCCTTATAAAAATAGTCCTATTTATATTTTTACTGGTATATCCGGGATTAATATTTAATCTTTTTCAACCAGTCGGATGTCCATTATAGACCTACTTGTCATTGTTAAAATCCGTCTACAAATCCGTTACTTTAAGACAATAATTGTGGTCTGTGTGCTACCGGAAGATGGCGTCATCTAGCATTAAAGGGACCAATTATATCTGCTGTATTGTAGTACTACGACTACCAACAACTAATTAGTTTGCGATATCAGCATCCACTGGAAGCGAACGTTAACTTGTCATCTACCAACCAACCAACCTGCTGTATTGGAAAGCAATATGTTTGATCTAGTCTATTTGAAGCATCAGTTGGAGCCTTACGTTCATCTTTCCTTCTCTTACAAAAGACATAAAAATAAACATAAACTTACTATTTAATATAGTGTAGAATAATGTCCACTACATCAAGGTGAAAATTATCAACTGAAGGGTTTGAATAAACAGAATGGAAACTTACGATATGAATCCAATGTAGTAGACAGTTTAAATCAGAAAATAAGCCAATAGCAGCTCGTTCGACCACTATATCAGTTTTAACTACTTGTATAATCATTGACCATCGTCTGACACCTGAAACTATCGCCTAGATCTTTGGCCACTGATTGACCATCAAGATTTCAGATGATATAGATAGTCTCTACCACATAGTCATGTAGTCCTTCATATAACTACGTATGGTTCTTACATAGAATTAACACACAATGCCATTTTGAATCTCTACCTCGACTAGTCTAATTTTGAAAAAGGCTGAAATATTTCAGCAAAGCGTCCAAATCACATTTAAAGGCTTAAAAATTATAGGTTGCAACATTGCAGTTCAAAGGCCCCGAAGGCACAGGAACAGGCATGTAGGCATAACCTTTAGTGAGAGAGCAATGCAGGGTTAACCTTGTTTATTTACGAAGCTGCAAAAGTTGGAGTTAAAACTCCATTTTCTCTCCTAAAGAAATAAACTAATGCAGCCTACTTTTAGGCACAGGCACGGGTATGTAGGCAGAACCTCCAGCCAGAGAGCATTATCATATAGCCTATAGAGCTTCTGTGGGTATTGCAGCTTATGCAATGTAACGAAGGCACAGGTATGGGCATGTAGACATAACCTCTAGAAAGAGAGCATTGCCGGGCCATTAACTGTAGGGTAAGACAGTCTTACTAGCAAAAATACAATAAAAGTAGGACATAAAACTTCATTTCTCTCATAACAAAATTATCTAATGTACTTTTATCGTAATCAACAGATTTAACCCTGAATCTACAAAAATATAATGATTTTTAGCTCTAGGGCATCTGATTGTATCTTAAATACCCGCTTTACAATAGTTGAAATATTTATATTTTTTAACAGTGGTTCAACTGGAAGACTGCAGGGGCCCGTGGACTTAAATGGGTTGAGTCCCTTGGACTTAAATGAGTGGGGCCCCTCGGCAGGAATTTTCTTTTTAATATATGCTCCCCTGAATCTTTTACTGCGCTGGCGGCCCCCTCAGTGGTTCAACCAGTCCTAATGGTAGTTGAGCCACAGTTTATTTTTATTACATTTTGTGGGCCTCGAAAAGCAGAGAACCATCAATTCTAAGACGCAGACAAAAGACCAGTTTGTAGACAGGATGATTTGGAACATAATTTTGGTTTTTACATAAATGTCAATAGAAACACAAAGCCCTGTGTTTTTTTTAAAATAAATTCCCCAAATTTTACCATTAGCAATATCCCCAACTCTTTATTATGTCCACGAGATAAATATTTCAAAATAAACTCTGTATGTTGGTGCACAGTGTCATTTTAAGGTCATTTTGTATTACATGTTGTTGGCTAGATATCTGAAATGGATTTGGCAACTATATTGTTTATATTGTAATAGGCAATAGGAAGTTACACATAGTCTATGTTCCGGTGTGCAACTGTTACAACTGCATTTCTCATAATGATTAGAAAATAAACATATCCATGACAGAACGCAGTGTTTAAAGTTTGACAGATTTTAAAAGTTTCAGTATAGGTGTTAATTGTTTGTTTTACCTGTGTGTTAGTTAATGTTGTTGTCGTGTCAAAGTGACGGTAGCCATGTATTGGCGGCTCTCTTCCATGGTCATAGAGCAGTGGTACTCAACCTTTTTCAGCCTTCACACCCCTGGAGCAATCACGTGGACCATTCACACCCTAAAAAATTGTTTCATCCACATTTGCAGCATGTGATGATGTGAGGTGCTCTCTCAACTCGATATAAATTATTCTCCTAGTTTGCCACACCCCTGACACCCTAGTCCCACACCCCCAAGGGGTGAAAACACCCCTGGTTTTAACCAGAGTCATAGAGTAATGGGGGACAAAATGCCTCACTTTTGAAACGTCAACAAACTTCAGAAGCGTTTTGTTATTGTTACTTTTACATAGTAAATATTCCGTTCCCAGTAAAAGCCGTGCGGATATCTGGGTTTTCGGATAAACGCGGCTCCACTGTACATATTTTTGATCCACCCATACACGAGAAAACCTCTTTCGCCATCTCGAATTGCGAAAAGACCTTTCTTGGCAGATACTACTGTTATGCATACCGAGTATCTAACCGGTCTGACACTAAATTATTTATTATACCACAATTTGAATAAAGTATATTGATTAATTTCTCCATTTAATTTATTACAGTTTAATAACAAATTGTTTAATAAACGGTAAAAATAAAGCAATACACATAAAATCTAAAAATTAAATTCATGGTATATGTAATATATTAAAATATAAATGAGTAATAGTGAGCCCCCTCGCAGCCTCGAAAGCAGTTTTTCGGACAAAAATCTGGGTTAGAAATATTTCGCGCGTTTTTGTAATTCCACTAAAAGCAAGTGTTTCATGACGTCACTAATTCCGAAGGACCTTATGTGACAAAGCATATTAGTGACGACATCAAACACTTAATTTTTGTGAAAGTGCAGGAACCACAGATGTCTGATAGAAAATTGAAATGGTTCAAATTGGTGCTATCAGTGTCCCCGATATACATAAGAAATTAAGAAAAGTCCTTTACAATCCCTTTAAAAAAGGTAATCTCCTACCTATTCGCTACATATATTTCTCACAAACTTCACAGCACCCAAAGGAAACAATCAAAGCAGAATGAAACGATATCTAGTGATTTACAAGAACAATTTGTTAGGGTTTGTATCGATTGAGGGGAATCAAACGAAGTTTAATCATACCTTTGAATGAATGTCAATATTAGTTTTAATATAGTTTTTTTCGTGGTTGCGTCCTGAACACAGATAAAGATGACGCCTGGATTGATTTCTTTAACAAACACTGACTACCTCAAGCATGGGTTGGTTTAGAACCTGTAGTCCGAAACCTGCTATGTACAGCGAGCGAACTATTCAGGAACAATAACTCAAAAGCCTTTTACCGAAATCAAAATTGAACTCATCCGACAATAAATGGAGTTTAACACCCAACTTTTGCTTCTGATTGACGAAAAACGTCATGAGTATGCCATGAGGAGAATCCATCTGAAGCTTATCCATCAGAGGCTTATCCATCCGAGGCTTATCCACCAGAGGCTTATCCCTCCGAGGCTTATCCACCAGAGGCTTATCCCTCCGAGGCTTATCCACCAGAGGCTTATCCCTCTGAGGCTTATCCATCCGAGGCTTATCCAACAGAGGCTTATCCCTCCGAGGCTTATCCACCAGAGGCTTATCCCTCCGAGGCTTATCCATCAGAGGCTTATCCATCAGAGGCTTATCCATCCGAGGCTTATCCACCAGAGGCTTATCCCTCCGAGGCTTATCCCTCCAAGGCTTATCCTTTCGAGGCTTATCCTTCCGAGGCTTATCCATCAGCGACTTATCCATCAGAGACTTATCCATCAGAGGCTTGACAAGAGCCTTCAATTTTTCGACTACCCATACGATTATAAGAGGCTAGATAAGAGTCAGCAATACTCATAAATCTGGAAAGACTAAGTAACCTTTAGTCTAGTCACATGATTATCAGAATCAGTAAGTTCAAATAAAAATCACGGACTATAGATAAGAGTCAGTCTGACATTGCCATTCATAAAGCCAACAATATGAGCAGTGTCAAACTTCATATATCTATCAGAGACAGTAGCTGCTCTTATAGTTTGCACAAGCCAGATAGAGCCAATAAGAATATGTCACAAAGCTATTTATCAGAGTCAAGGTTTTATGATCGTTCAATACACCTCACAGACTATTGAAAATAATATATCAGCCAGTTTCGGACTATTACCATCATTGATTTCCAATTGCTGATTTGTACAAAACACAATCCAATAAAAAGATATTGATCAGTAAAATGTAACGAACAGCGATATTATATTTATATCTCCTATACTAATAAGTAGGATATTGTTATATCTAATATAGCGGATATCCGCTCTTCTTTCTTCATAACATACAATATACATTAACACCTTATTTCAATACGTTGTTAAGGATTTCGGGTTTCAGGATCGTTAGTACTTGGTTTATTTATACAATACTATCATATTGTATGTAAGAACCAGGCCCACCTAATATTAGCATATCAAGGGTGGATTTTAAGTCCCAATCACCCAAAGCGCCACAAGAAACCCGGACCGGAAATAAAAAAATTACTTGTTAAAATTAAGGATCGAAGATTTTTATGCTACGAAATTAAAGTATTCAGTTGGGTGGTACTTAAAATCCAAACCTAATAACATTAGCCAATAAGTTCCCAAAGACTTCCTGAATCGCTAGAGACACCCGCCACTTCTAAACTTCTAAACGTTCGTCGCATAAAACTTTAACCAGTGATTGTTGTTCCGTAATGTTCTGTCTACTCTCGTACAAATAGTTAAGTTTAACAATTTCGGTCACTTTTCCGTCCGGTGAAAGGTGAACAACCTTACCGCATCTATTACGCATAATTGATCACTTGGAAACAATAGTTGACCCGTAAACAACTAAAAAAAAAACAACCGACATATTTCATACCGCGTTGACAATTCGAAGGACGTGGACTCTGGTCAACAAAACCCTACGTTAGACATATTTTATTGACAGGTTCATGTCACTGTTTATTTCACACGAATATGGTCAGTGTCTAAAATACGGAGCTGGAGACGTTAATCTTTATCACAAATCAAACTCCAACGTCGAACTAGATTGACACCATCCTGACAATGTCAAGCTAATACGAACTGTGTCTAATATCTTAAAGGGATTATAAAGAGGATTTCTAAGTTTTGTATACTCATAGGGGACACAAATAGCATCAATTTGCACCATTCCTATTTTAAATCAGACATCTTTGGTTCCTGCAATTCCACTAATAGTAAGTGAGTTTGACGTCACCCCTGCAAAATTTACTTGTATCATATAAGATAAAAATATAAAATTTAGAAAACCTCTTTACAATCGTTTTAACTGACGACCATAGCCATCTTTCTTGTATTACAAAAGTTTGCAGCGATAAGTTCGGATATTACGCTACCGAATACAGACATGGTGAAGACGGATCGACACCATCTGACAGAGTTTCTGTATAGTTACTATTCCGATAGTCGTGATTAACGGATGTGATATCACATCCGCATATCACGTCTGGTACTGGTAGAGCCATGTCGAGCTATATCGTTAATACATGAAATGAAATAAAAGGGTTTGTAAAGAAATTTTTCTAAATTTTGTATGAATATCGGGGACACTGATAGCATCAATTTGCATCTTTCCAATTTTCAATCAGACATCTGTGGTTCCTGCAGTTCCTGAAAATAAAAGAAGCCGATGTTTTCCGCATCGGTTGACGGGTTGATACATCAATAAGCTGGGCGATTTTAGATTTTATTCCACAGCACAACATTCTGAGTATAAAAACTGAACTAAGTCATGTTCATAATCTGCTAGATGGACACAATTGAATATTTCGCATGGGTGTATAATTGATCAACAATACAGAATCTACGTTTCGTATTTTTCAAACGGAAACCGGTTATCATTGTAAAGGTCAGCTAAAAATATTTGGCTAAATTACACTGAGAGCTAATTATGGTCATTACCAGTCAATTTACTTCAGTACAGAAAAATACTGGAGTCGTAGTAGAAAAACAACATTAATCATGGTAATATGATGCTGAAGTTTGTTAATTTAGATTAATGTCAGCGAATCCTTTGTGAAGATCAACAGCCATTTTAAGATTCTATGAGCGTCTTTTGGGTATTGTCTTAGCCGATTGAACAATAACTTAAAAACATCGTTTGGTCATAATGTAGCTACTGTTGGCGATTATTTGAACCTGTTTAATAGCTAAATTTCGAGACATTGACAAGTGCAATAATCAATAAAAACTTGTGGTGGGAGTGTAACCCAAATTTAACCTAATTGTACTTGTACTTAAGCGGATGGAAGTAGGTTAAGGAAGAGTGCTTTGTTGATCTCTAGATTAATTTCATAAAAGTTCAGTTTCAACTCGTACATCGGCACTTAATTTTATTGTCTGGGGCAGTGGCAGAGCCAGGTTTACGTCCGTGGGGGGTAGGGGGGTGGCTTTTGGGCGACTGCTCACTGTCATTTAGGGCAGTCGCACAATTTAAAGTAAACTTATGTATGGTACTTGAAGTATATACCATGTTTTTGGAGAATAGTTAAAAAAAACACTACAGCAATACAGTGGTATTTTGCAGATACCGTGAAACAAAAGTTAAAGGTTTCGGCCAGACATTCTTTGTACTCCTTATAGATTTCCAGTGTACCAACGTCTACGTAAATGTTAGATTTCAGCAAAACAAATTTCAGCGGAAACGATATTCTTAGGTCACATACTTTTACAAAAACATATGTGAGATTTCAGCGAAACAGTTTTGATAGGGCTATACGTTAAGGTCAACAGACGGGGAGTAAATTATAGTAGATGGTCAATGTATCCTTATTGACAATGGGTACATACGTCTAGATATTTGAGCAATGATAGCTCCAGGCAATGGTATGGCATTCTCATAAAAATCATTTACTAAGTCAATATCAAGCAAAGTTACGGCTATTAACTTTTCAGGTTTCTATAAAGATTGACGATACAGATGTTTGTATGATTCTATGGCCAACGTACAGGATAAATCTTTCATACACGATACAAACAACCAATGTGTGCTCTAAGATTAATAGATCTTCAAAATTGCAATAAAATTCACGTTTGTTGGCTATACGCCAGGCAAAGAAAAAAATAACAGCAAACAACATGTGTGTCCAATTATCTGACGAACGCAACTTTCCTAGATACAGACTAAACAAATTCAGTTGCCTGAACTGCACTAGCTGAATTATCTTGTTTTGTCAAACTTCAGCAGGGACACAGAATGAAATAGTCAGTTGTCTGACGATCACTACTTGTCAAAATTCAGTAAAGATACAGACTGAAATATTCTAGATGTCTGAAGATCTTTACTTGTCAAACTTCAGCACAGTTACAGACTAAAATAGTTAAGTTGTCTGACGATCACTACTTGTAAAACGTCAGAAAGGCGCACAGGATGAAATAATCCAGTTAATTCTGACTAGGAATAAATTCGACATCAAATTCGATATTTAAAAATTAAATTACATACCTGACGGTTAGACAATCACTGGAAAATAATGACCACTTCTAAATGATATTATATAAAATAATATACATGGAAAAGGTTGAAATCCCGAGTGAAATAATGGAGAAATAACACATGGTGCAATGTAAGATATTCAGATAGATATACACTAATATCATGAATATATAATACAGAAGCCAATTATTATTAATCACACTTACTTATCAACAGTCAAATTAATATATAAAAAATTGTTGAAAAAATATAAAACTTGGCGTTAATAGTGCGCAGTTTTGTTGATTCTTTTAGATTGGATGGAGTGCGCATTATCTATATACCTTCATATCGAGTGGCCCAGTAAAAACGATAACCTTTTCATTTCAAGATTTTTCAAAACGTATCAACGCTGAGATTATAACATTTTGACCTCATATTTATAGGGGTATTAGACATCTTTTCACCAAATAACAGCTTTATAGACTGAACCATTGTAAAATACCAGCCCTTTTACAATTACTTGTCCAAAAATATAACCTCGAAAGTAAATACTGTTATTTTTTTTCATTTAACTAATGTACAAAGTGGACGACATTTACAGCAAAAAAACAAAAACGTTTTTGTCCATGAAAAAATAGCCTTCTGAATTTTGAAATTTTTCATACTTAAGATGAATGGCAACCCCCAAATTCCTGATTACATCAAATGGTTTACAGTGTGACAAAATTAACAATGGAGATAAGCTGGAGAAACTGAAGGACAGAATTAGAGAGAAATGAAACAGAATAACACATGAACAAACCGAACAGGCAATATCTTGTCACGATAAGAAGGAATTAAGGTGAGTTTTCGCTGAAAGTCGGAGCTGTATTGATCATTAATTCAATTAAAGAGGAGAAATTTCAGAATTTACTTTAGGCATTAAATTTTTGGACAGGGAATTTTAAAAAAGCTGTAATTTGCTGAAGAGACCATTCGTCTGCAGTCTACTCGTTCCATTTCCAACTGCTGTGGGATTTTAAACGTGGCATAACACTGGACCTCGGTCTTCCAAAGGAGTGCCTCATCCATTAGCCCCTATGTATGGCAAGGAAAAAAATAGGATACACAATCGAATTCAGCCCCTGTGTCGCAGAGGATAACAAGGACGTCAAATTCTAGTCAGGCCCCATGAATAACATCACTGACAATGCAAAGGTATAAACTCCGAAATATCTGGCTCGCTTATGCTTATATTGAATTTCTAAACTCCAGGTTATTGCGAAAAATATCGTGAATATTTGGTATAAAAAAACAGCCGTCTAATTCTCAAATTAGATTTAAAACAATTACTTTACAATGATTGCCTTTATTTCTATCTACCAATATTGACTGTGAGTAAACAGTATCACATTTTTCACCAATTGGCAGCCATTATTGACACTCAACATAAGGTTAAAGAGAAATGTGCACAATTTTTGGGCGGTTGATTTGAGTCTTGGATATATTTAAGTAGTCGTAAGAAATACTAGAAATGTACGAAAATCGCATAATTCATAAGTGGTAGTTATGACCAAAAACCATTTTTTTCAATATAAAATTAGATGCTTTTAATGCACATGGGTACACTCATTTTGAAGCCTCTACATTTAATTGATTTACAAATATTAAGAATATATGCATCCATTCATCGACAACAAAGCACCTTTTTGTGCATATAACCTTTCTGGTGTGAGGCTTTGCCTTTTTCTTGGAAAGTACATATCAAGAAATGTAGCCTCTATATCGTGCATACAAGAAAAGTGTATGGGCGGATGGACAGAGGCGACGGCAATATACATCCACATTTTCATGTGGGAGTATAAAAAAGGTCAGTTATGACCCTATAGTTCAATGACAACATATTTAGATAAAAAAAATTCTACGGTCGAGGGGGGCATTGTGCCCCACTGTAGAAAATATTCTGGCCCGGCCTTGCCGTTCGTGAGGCGTCTTGTTGACAACATGGGACAATATAACAATTTTCTTTTGAATATTTTATTGAAAAGTGGATATATTAAGTGTTTGCTGGACATTTTCAAATTTTTACAAAATAAATACTCAATAATATACAAATAGTTTATACATTTATATTTAGCATTTTAACTATGCGTAAGAGATGGAACATGTTTCCGGACAGCATTTGAAAACAAAATCGTTCGAGCCAATGGCGACAAAGCTATTTGAGAGCAAAACAATTACAAGATTCTATTTCTATGTTACAAATAACAATAGATAAATTTTGATGGTTTAAAATATGGCACAAAACTTAATTACACTTTGATTTGATTATACTTCTTCTAAAATACCATTTTACACTGCACATAGAAGATTTGGAGAAATCAAAAGTAGAGCAAACAGAGCCAGCCGACAATTCGTCATTGTTTTCAAGAAACAGGTCGAACAAGTGACATGATTTGATTGGTTTAAATAAATGTCATTGAAAGGGGCTGCGATAAAAAAAAAGTGGGATAGATTACAATGGAGACGAAAATATCAGTAAAAAAAGGGAAACGAAACAGTAATCTAATTTCCATTAGATTGATGCTCAACAGACCAACTTCAGCTAATCAATAAACTTCCAGATGATGGATGAATTGATGATAATGATTAAAGTATGAAAAAAAAAGAAAAAAAGAAAGAAAAAATTATAACAATGGGGTGTATTGAGGCTAAAGATAGAATCCAGTGGATCAATATTAGACCTGTGAGATAAAGGTATGGTTGTGAGAGGGGGTTGTGAGAAAGGGGCGGGGGGTCAAGGCGACTGAGGCTATAGATAGAATCCAATGGATTAATATCAGACAATCATGTGGGATAAAGGTATGCTACCGTCAAGAACTATGGGGTAGTCCGGAGGGGCGATGGGGGTCAAGCTACAGATAGAATCCAATGATCAATATCAGACATATGGGCAAGGGCTACCATCAACATCTCACTTCATATTGGGTTGTCACCATCCACACTTACTGTAATAATGGATGATGGGGTTGGGGCAGTGGGGGAGAGATATAGACTACAGATAGAATCCAATAGATCAATATAAGACTTGTGGGATACATCACTATATAGCTTCATATTGGGTTGCCACCATCCACACTTACAGTAATAATAGGTGATGGGGCGGGCAGTAAATCATCCACACTCACTGTAAAAAAGGTGACTATTAAATCCAATAGACCAAAACCCGATAAGTATACTTAACTGCATATTAGTACAAGTTCTGCTAGCGCTCTGCAACAGATTCAGCTTCATGGAAACTGCCGAAGATTTCCGATGATTACCGAATTGCATATTGGTTGACCACAATTCATTCTTTAACGAGATATGGTAACATTGCAGATCTAGAAACCTAGACATTTTAATTCATTATTTCAGCGGGTACTTAACAAAAAACGTTGCATACTCACAGAATGAAGATATAGTCTGATGTGCGTTCCCTGTGGGCAGACAGAAAGCTATATAATGATAGAATTAAAGGCAAAACCAATTTTGCAATTCAAGATATTGTATTTCAAAATGTGAGTGCAAAAATTTAGATGGATATGTCCCTTAAATATTAGAAATAATATTTATAATACAGAATGCTAGTGGAGGTTGTGTCAATACTGTCCAATTTATAAACTAAAAAGACAATACTTCATATTTATACTTTAGTCTGAAATTGCTATTAAGAAGTATTAATCAATACTCTTATCTGATTCCCACAGTGCACAGTTTCAATTTCAAATCAATAACAACAAAGATATTTCAGGTTAAATATCAATCTTAACAACATGATATTAGACGCAGCAGTTAACAATTCAAGAATGTTACTTAACGCTTTGAAAAGCATAAAGAGTTGGCAAACCCCAGTGGTAAATGGTCCGATGGTACCAAAAACCATCATAGCTTCTATTCTGATACAATCGCATCAGAATTCTATCATTTTCCCACTTCCTTTAACGGTATAAAGGGCTTCACAGTGAGGGGGGCGAGCAGGGGCCACAAATTTTTCCAGGGGGACCACAGGGGGTGAAAAAAAAACACCACTGGGGTCACAGTGGTTCATTTAGTTAGACGCTTGCTCACTAACCTGAAGGTCCAGAGTACAATGCTAGTAAATGTCGACATGTATCACATTTATCAACCCAGTTTCCTCTTGTCAGTGTTGCCGGTCAGAGGGGCTGACATGAAAAAAGTGTCTTGACAAATAAATCGAGATGCCATATACTACAATGATCTCTTGACAGTTGGAAATAAAAAAATCGTAGTCCTTGCAAACTTTCCATCATTGTACACTGCTTGGCATTACTCACATTCAATAGTCTATTTGAATGCAGGGAAGTAAGCCCTAAACACTATTTCAATTCAAGATATAAGTCTCACATCCTACTGCACCAACACGCGTGTTAAACTTCATGATTAGTCATTTAAGCTGAGTAAAATAGACCCATGGCGGTTACATTGGCATAAATACACCGGGCGAGTTGAAAAAATTAAATAAATTGGCAAAGCGTCCATTTAACAAAACACGGTGCAAGTGCAAGAAAATACAGGTCGAGATGGCCCTCAGATCTAAGTCTTAAAATAACTCTACTGTTTGTTTGCTAATCTTTTGTTATGTCATGGAAATCGTTCTCCGTTGTTTAAATATTGTGTTTCACATCATCAATTGAATATCTATCATTCAGTCTTTGTTCGATTTCTGAGCAGTCTGAAAAAGAACATCACATTTTCAAATTTCTTTTGTTCAAAACGTAAATCATCTCTAAAATACACAAGCTTTTTGTTGACACGCACACAGAAAACACAGAAATTTGAAAAATAATAGTTATGTGAGATATTTGAGGTTTGATAATAGTAAAATAATAAATATCCTCTACCTTTAAAACTGGTTTCTTTACACCAATTAAATCACACAGTTTATTTCTGGTGGGAAGAATTTCTGGTACTGGTAAATCCCTGGAATAAACAGAAAATAATACATTGTTAAGATATATAAAGAATCTTTTAAAGGCAATATATAGCAATGTTCAACAACTTTTAAAGAATCAGGAGCCTTATACTCAAGAACTAAATAAAGCCACAGCTGTACTACTATATATTCAATGGCAGGGACATGATTCAGGGACATTGACCGTGAATATTTGCTATTATGGTTTTGCAAATATATTTTACAGATTTTCTTTTGTTTTATGTGTATCTAGACCAATTGAAAATAATTTCTTTTACTTATTAAATCACAAACTTTTTTCTTGATAACGCCGTCTATATGAGCATGTGTAAATTCAATTTACATTTTTTAAAACAAGAAAACAAATACCTAAAGGTTTACAAAGGTCTGTTGTACAAAGATTTCAAGATAAATACAACCCTGGGTAAATCTCCCTTTACTGATTCAGTAACTTTAATTCATTCATCTACGTATTTTATAGGGCTGCAACAATTCTTGAAGTTGCCATTCGATACACTATACGATACTGATCCAACGATACAATTTATTGCGATAATTATTTTTTATTAATTAAAAATAGTAGAAAGTTGTAAAATTACTAACAAGTTTGTCACTGTTAAGCACTTGAGAACATTTACAAGTAAGGAGTTGTGAAAAAAAATCTCAAACTTCAAAGGCAGACATGATTTTTGCAAATTATGATGTGAAAATCATAATTGGAATATGAAAACATGACACAATTTCTTAAACACACAAGGATTCTGTGTCATTTCGTATTAAAGGGGGCTAAGAATTAAGGCATTACGATTATTTTTATCGAACACAAGGCATCAAAAAGGAGGAAAGAATCGCAGTTTATCTATTCATCCGTGAATCGTTGCAGCCCTTGTATTTTGACCTAACAATTCGAGAAGATCTGAATACTTACCAGTTTGTATCACAGAGAATAGATTGGACTTCTTCACTAACATCTTCATCAACAAAATCATACGTCAATAAAGCTTCATATAATTTATTAGCTGTGGTCTTCCTGACTCGAGGATATTTAAAACATAGAAACAACATCAACTGGAACAGAGCCTTCTCTCTTACTTCACCTTCAAATTGTAACAACCCACAAAACCTATAATAAATATTTCGATCACTTTAATTAAAATGCACAATGGAAATAAACACTGATTTTCCGAGGATATTGACTCAAGAAATCTTGATGTAAATTTGTCAAAAAAAATTATTAAGACATTTTTTTTAGCTTTTCTAGCTTCCTCCTTCCAATTTTCAGTCAGATGTCTGTGATCCTGTAATTATAGAAATGCTTCATGCAACATCTGCTAGTTATATATGATTGCTTTTGCAGTAGCTAAGACAAAAAGGCTCATTTTAGTGGAATTGCATGAACCACAGGCAAGCATTGAAATCAAATACCGAGCTACAAGGTACACTGTGGCTTCTATTGCATACATCAAATATCTAATTCATTTTACTTACACATCAGCACTAGCCATCAATTTATTCAAATCACCAGATTTAAATTTTTCATTTTTAACACATTCACATAATAACACAGGAATCTTACAACTGAAAATATTTAAAAAAAAAATTCATAAATTTGGATAAGCGAAAAATGAACTACACTAATCTCTGGATCTTTGCATCTCAAAACACTTTTCAGTTTGTTTTGTTCAATGAATCTAAATAAGATGAGATACCATTAAATGGATAAGTTTACAGTAATATGAAATTCGTTGCTCTAAATTGCAAATAACCGGTTCTAGAGTCTAGGGTGATAAATAATAATAATGCAATACAATAGTATTAACGTATCAGATAAATGGAAAGGGCAATTAACTAAAATAAGAAATTTTTTGGACCAACTGCCAAAAACAAGTACTGGAGTCTAGAGTGGTAAAGACAATATTGATGAGAAATAAGAGACTACGCTTTTTAAATGCAATGATATGCAAACATGAATCATACTGAAATAGACTCATGTATCTAAAGTCAACACAAATTCTTAACATGTCATCTTTTTTGTGTACAATGATGATAGGAAAATGAAATGATGTACTTACTCTGGTAAAGATAGATAAGATTCAATACAACCATTAGATAATATCTGATCTGTCATCTTTAATAGAGGTGTGGTTACTCTACAATAGAATAGTGATATATTAACTTCTCAACTATTCTAAAATCAAGTTGTTTTTTTTTTTTCATTGTATCATTTATTCTTACATTCTGTATCTGTATCTGTATCTGTATGAATACGTTGAAAAACCACTTCTGGCATATAATCAACAGAAGGGAGGAGCACATGTAAAATTATTAGTCTGAGTGGAAGTGCGATTTAAAAATCCCCACAGATTTTGCTAGGACTTGTTCGTCCTGTATGTGGTCTATAATTGTACTGGGTAAATAAGAGTTCTTGAGTGTTTCTGTTTTTCCGGTAATGGTTTGGAATTAACGACTTTTGTTGGTTACACTATTTAAATAACACATTAATTCTGACATTTCATAATAGTAACAGAATTTTATTGCTTCAAAACAAAAAAGGTTAAATTGAAATAAGATAAATTTATTTGTTGCGCTGATATTAAATTGACCGTTGGGTGGTCTCTCAGCAATGATTTACCACGACTGTCATACTATCAAATGCATCAAATGATATAGAGATAGAGAAAACTTATGACACAAGAGTTCACTAATCAAAGATCACAATCACTCACCTCTCAACTTTGACAAAGTCTTTATAAATTTGAACCAAGACATCACAGAAATGAGCTAGTTTATTTTGATCTTTCTCTATTTGTCGTAAATAATTAAACAATGACTGACTAGAGTTTTGAACCTAAAAAGAAACAAAAGATTATACTTGAAAACAAATTTTTTGAGTAAATGTGTAACTACTTTAATTTTTCAATCAAAAAGCAGTTTATATAACATGGTTTGCTCATGCTGTAAAGAGTACCTGTATAAATTCGTTGTCTGTATAAGGAGAATGGTTAAAGGGATTTTGACATCAGAAATTTTCTTCGATTGAGGAGGATTTAAAGGCACAGCACCAGATTGCCTAGAAGAATAAAATCTAAAGAATACTTCAACATACGACCATACTTATTATGCGCATAATTTCATCCATAAACTATGACATCACGGTCCAGGCACATAGGGTAAGACAAAAACTTACTAGAGATTCTGTTAATCCACCAACACTAACACAAGTACCTAATAACACATTGTACGTAAAGGTAGGTAACTCTAACAGCTTAACAAACAGTGGAAATGTATCTGACGGTGCAGCCCAGTTGATATTCTCAACACAAGTACTGAAACAATATAAGAAAAACTAACATGATAATCAATCAACAAGAAGGAGAGGAGCTCTGTCTTGCTAGTGACAGCTTGCACATTGCTTTTTTTTTATTGAGCTCACATTCAACAAAGTCTTTAGGCCAGGACTAGTTAACAGGTTGATGAATTTCACCAGGGAATCACCTACCTATTGGTGTGTAATTAATATACCAAATAAAGAGGGACAACCATGATTAATTCAGAATGGTGTTTGTCAAATTTACATCTTTAAAGGAAATAAATAACATGATATCTGCAGGAATGACTAAATGTAATCATTCCTTATTTGATACTCACCTTGGAAACAGTTTTAATAAGAACTCTCTGTGTGGAATGTTTGGTATATTTGGTCTGTAAAAACAAAGCAAAACAAACCACTTTTGAAAACAGATAGATGGAAATTGCACTCATGTTTATAATTCCTTCAATAAAAGTATTTGGAAACAAGTCACATTTAAGCTTTTATTTGGGTCAAAAATTTGTACAGTATTACAATATAATGGTAAGATATGATGATGAATACATTGTATAATTGTTAATATAATGCACACCTCTTTTACCCTCAAGTAAATCAACAAGTTGGCAGACTACAATATTGAACAGTGATATCCCATATTCAAAGATTCTACCATCCTTAAAATCAAATGAAATGAATGGAGTTTTACGTCCTACTTTTCTGCACCATGTGGGTTAATGACGGTCTACCATCCTTAAAGAGATTAACTATTAACTTACTTTAAATGTAAGAGTCTATAGAATATGTATCCAGCATGAGCTCTTGTTCTGTCTATTTTCTCACAACATTGTTGTATTAAACATTGGAACATCATCTTACATCTATAATATATACAATTCATATTATGTTTCTTGTCACATGACAGTAAAGATACTCATTCATACTAATCGAGACCACAATATGACCATACTAAACTCAATATATATTTGGAATCATCAAGTCTAATTTACCTTACCATTTATTGCTCAAAGAAAAGGGCGTTAACAACTGCAGCAATGGAGCAGTTTTATGTTATGAAAATAAAACTTACATATCAGCAGTTAATAAATCAGGTGAACTATTTACAACTAATGTTGATACTTCTAGTAAACCTGACATACTCGCCTCCCTTACCCTAAAAAATATGAAATGTAGTTTAACATAAAACTTTCCTGATAATCATTGAGATAATAAAAGAGAGCAGGAGAACTTTTCAATTTTCAATCTTTCAGTGGAACCTTGAAATAGAAATTAGAAAGTGTGCGCATTTTATGTGCCCAATTTTGGGTACAAGAGAAGGCAAATCCAATCTAATGACTTACCATGCACCAACATCACCTCTACTATCTAGAGTATAATCTAACATGGCTATCAAATAAGCTTTGTATATTGCTGGTAGATTGTGTTTATTAATTACACTGTTACTATCACCTTCTGTATATATACCAACAGTATTACATATACTGAAATCAGAAAATTTCAAATTAAAGGATGACGATAACTCATGAGGATAATAACAGTTTATATTTGGAAAGAATTACAAAATAATTATAAAAATCATAACCATTAAATCAAGATCATTCAAAAAATGAAAACCTTAAACATCAAAACCTGGAATTCAAGCTGAAAAGGATCTTATAAACCACATGGACCTAGGTCAAACTTAGCACTAAGATATCCTAGAAACAGTGTTAGAAGTTAAAACCCAAGGACATTCTAGCGCTTAGATCTTTTAAACCAGAATAATGAGTAAAGATGACTTTCATAAGACTAAGGCAATAAATATCCCCATACCTTGTAATAGCCTTTAAAGCATCCCGTCTAGATTCTGCCATGACTTCTTCTCCAGTGTTAATTTTACTACTAGATATTAAACTATCTAATACAGGCTTTAAATGATTCTTTAACATTGATTTAGGTATAGCTCCTAGTGCGAGGCTAAACCCAGATCTGAAACACGAAAAAGATTTAACATCATTCCTTTAAGATCAGCTGATACTAATGTAGTTTGTTAGCTTGGAATTTATATCAGTACACCAGATGACAACATTTACTTGGGTCTGGAAACTGAGCTTCATTTCAGTTAATGTACTTATTAATGCTCTTTTACCATATGATTTCTAAAGTACTTTTGGGAAATTCTTTCTCCTTCTTTTAGTTCGAATTAGTGTCCCCTTCAGCAAAATTGATAACAAAGATGCTTGATCCTAACTCATAGATAGAAAATAAGATTATGGATCTATAGCAGGTATCTTATAAGTTTTAGAGTTAACAGTAATTAATCATACCTTGTTGTTTGAACTGAGGATTTCAGATGATTGATATATCTTTTTAACACTTCATCTGCAATGTATACAGAAACAATAAAATCATTATCCACATTCAACCAAAAATTTGCACTGGCACTTGGAATATAATAAATGCTGATTTTTTGTGAGTGGAGTGCAATAGTGCTCAAGTTCATTCAGATAATACAATGTTGTCCAGTACATTTTCATTATAAATAAATTGTCCCTCGTCAAACTAAAAACCTTTTCTCTCCCTCTTGCATTTTCTCGTCTCCCATTATCATAACTCCTTCTTCTCAGACCTCAATTACATTCCTAGCAGATGATTTTATTACAATAGGCAAACTGTGCAATGCACTTCATTACAATAGGCAAACAGTTCAATGCACTTTATTACAATAGGCAAACAGAGCAGTGCACTTTATTACAAGAGGCAAACAGAGCCATGAAATTTATTACAATAGGCAAACAGAGTAATGTACTTTATTACAATAGGCAAACAGTACAATGCACTAGTTGTTCATCTCACTACAAATCAGTATTTTAAAACAAATACATACCTTGTGTTTGCTCTGACTGTGGTGTTTTAACATTGGTATAATATTCTTCTATCATACATGGTAGAGCTAATACAGCACAACCCTACAATCATCAATCATAATTTTTGGATAGTGAAACCCAAATAGGCTGCCATATTACTCTACTTTGGGTTTTGCTTAATCAAGAAACAGTCTCTACATGACATGCTTTGATTGGTAAAAAGAATGTAATCAGAACAGGAATGTGATAGAAAACTTACAATAGTGACGAAAAGTATGAGATAAAAAAAAGAAACAAAATCTAATCTTAATTAATACAGTTCAATAACTAGAAATATTAAAACAAAACTTGAATCATGTTACTCAGAGTTTCACACAATGGCATCTTCAGACAACTGACCAATTTTAGCCTGAAGTTGGATAAGTAGAACTTCTCAAGTCTACAATTCGAGACAGATCAATAATTATTTTATTCTGCCTAATAATTAAACAGACTGTTCAGGATTATGTTTTGATTTGAACCTGGTTGTGGACTAACTATACCTGTATTTCTGGATCTATATGTAACAAACAATCATCTATAATATCTTGCCATAGATCTATAACTGGTAAACCATGGTAGGGTAATTTAGACAGAGATAACATCTTGATTAGACAGCATACTGAAATAATAAAAAATTCACTTAAAGCATATACATAAATACAAAATATATCAAATGCAATGTCTTGGATAACAAGTTAATGCTTAAATTTTGGTCATAGCCCAATCAAAATATATCAAGGAAATCAAGAAAAAGAAGACCTATGTCCATAAATAACGACTACATCGGCTATATATACGCTCTTGAATTAGAAATTCGGGTCTTTCGCATCATTAGATAATTTCTTAATTTGATAATTAAGTTATTACCTGCTTTTCTCATCAGATCAGCTCCAAGACCTTTGAATAGATTAGCTTTCTGTAACTATAATATAAAATATACATTAGTCTGGAAATAGTCTATAATCTCAAATAATTCATACTTGCCAGTCCTGTTTTATCACTATGGTTACTTCATGTCCAGCTCATTGACTTCATTAACTTGAGGAATTTTGACTTAAAGATTGTGACAAGGGTGGGTAAATGTAAGTTTTCTCCAAACTTTCTCCATATCAACGAGATGTCATCTGGGGTGTACAACAATAACAGAAAATATTTTACCTGTCCAGCTATGTTCATCAATCTATCTCTTGATGTAACATCAACAATGTCTTCTAATTTTCTAGAGAAAAAAATAAAATCATAGGATATATCTTTTTAGACACATTCATACCATTCCCAGTAGTTGTAACCTGCAGAATGAAATAATTCCAGTAAAAGATGGCAATGTGTTTTCTGATAAAAAGTATAACAGGCTTTTTTCAAAAGAGAAGGAAAGCAAATTAAGAGAGAATTCTTTTATAGCCTTTACCTTTATATGTTTTTTACATTTTAACAATAACTGGACACAATTATATAGATAACAATTACTTTAATAAATAACTTGTGACGTTTCAACGATGATGATTTCGTCTTTATCAAGCAATGCCATTCAAGGAAGTTTTTATCAGCAAAGAAATATTCTCTATATTCAAATATAACTTACTTATTGTCTTTGGTAGCATGTTTATATAAAGAATAAGTAACTTGAGCTGCAGATAAGACAGCCCCATGTCTCATATAGAGGTCTATAGTGGTGATTTTATCTAATATAGATGGTAAAGCTGAAATATAAAATACGATCATCAGACTTTGTACAAAAGTAAGTGTATGGATAGATTTCTATGAAGGTCACTTTTCCCTCAACAGAAATTTTGCGAAAAAGTTACCAAGAAGTCCTATCATAAAATTTAAAGTCTTGAAATATGAAAGATAACTTTATTTGAAATTTAGTCAAATTATCTTAAAAATTTCTGTCCATTACCAAGATTCTATTGGTGATATATTAATCCATATAAGAATTAAAACTATTCCTAAATACTAACTAGAGTACTGTTATACATCACATTGAAATGTATTGTGGTCTTAAGATATCAAAAGTGCATCAAGAGTTATCTCCCTTGGGAGAGTCATTGAGGGCCTGAATAAAGATGGTGGTCTGGATATCATCTGTTGTATTTTATCTTTGAATCAAAGCCATCCTGGAAAACAGTCCCGAACAAAACAGTACTTACCAGTTTCGATCATATATTCTGGGCATTTTTCTGTTAAATTATGTAAAGCTTCACTTGATAATTCTCTTATAGCACTGTAATTGACAGAAAAATGTGGAGTTTTACACCCTGTATTCCTGCTAAACTGGACCCCTATTGTGTTGGCTGATCGCTGCCCTAACAACAGGTATGGCCTTAATCTCAGAATCAGAAATCTGACCACAGGATTTGCCGAGAAGTAGTCTTTTTGGAGTTGATAGTTAGGAAACCCAATACGATACTATAGTGTATGACGTGAATTTCGTCCAATCAATGCCAAGATAACAATAGCTTAAATAGTGGCCAGTCACAATCCTGCTTCTTATTAAGGCTAATGAAGGTCTGACATTGATCAGTTATCATACTAAATAAACAATATTAGCTGTGTGGAGACTCTTGCAAGTTGTATCAGGTGTTCCAATTGAGTGATAATACCCTGCCACTAAAACTCCACCAAGTTTATGGAGTTGGGCACAGGAACATTTTCCAGGTGGTGTGTGACTGAATCATAAATATATAAAGATCAGAACTGACCTGTCCCAATGTGATATTTTAATATTAATCAGATGATCAACTAGATGGTGAGTATATTCTGGAAACTGAGCCACATACACACTGAAACAAACAATACATCTCTTATAGGTATTAGAGGGTGGGAGCCAACACCGGACGGACTCTCAGAAGCACTGACACAGGCATAATATTTCTGACCTTGAGGAGGATTCCAACCTACAGTACCTAATCGCCTAGCAGAAGAGATGTAGTCCAAGAATGATATTTGTACTCAGCCAAGTCCACTTCATTTTGAGGTAAACAGAAAGTAATTGACCTTCTATAATGTATTTCTTAATTCCTAATAACTAATCAAAATTGTTGTTTCATGATTTCAATATCCAATTCAAAAGTAACAACTTGTTAATAGTTTCAATTGGCTACGGCGTCCGATGCATTTTCTTTCCATAAAGTTACTCACATCTATATCATAGGCTTCAATACTAGCTGTCTATCTAGAATCCAAATTTATTTCCATTTCTAAAAGCAAACTATTTTGTAACCAAAACCGTCCACAATTCATCAATTACTATACTTAAAACCAAAAGAGGTTTAAAGTTTGAGGCTATTCTCACCTGATTTCTAGAAAACAATGAGATCTGTTTCCAACAGCAAAATAATCAGCTGTAGTCAGTATATCAATACCATGAGGAAATATTCCCTGCAATAGACATATATTACTGTTAGATTTTAGAATGCTAATAAAAACACGTTAAGTTCTGCCACAGCAACCAATAATAAATTGATTAAAGGCTCTTGAACGATCAAATAGTGGTCCTATTAATCTTTCTTCATTAACATATATACCTCTGCTTCCTTTTGAAGGCTTTCAATAAACATTAAGCTATCAGACTCTAATAGAGAAATGTTTAAGTAATAATATTGTGATATTGTAATTGATCTATATTACCTGTCTTCCAACATTTTCTTGAAAGGCAGCTGAGGCAGCTCTTCTGACATTGACCTCTCTATCAAATATAGTCGCTAATATTAACCCACTGGAAATATAACACAGAATACCATTAGTGATTAAGTATAAATATTGATTGGAGCATTTATCATGTTCGGTATGGAATATCTAATACCTAATACCACTTTGTGACTGGATTTGTATCTATTTAACAGAGTCCACTTTGTAAGTAACGATAATAAAATGCCTATGGCTGTTCTGTGTAGAATTTTTTTTAGTTCAGAGCTAAATTATTGACAGGTAAATTGAAAAGATACTAAAGCAATTTATGTATGAACAGCGTACTCTGTGAACTCAGAGATCTGAGAATAACGACAATCCAATTCAACATTATTTTCAAATTTTTTATCCTTCTTATATCACATGAAACAAATTTGAGTATGTGGACACTCTGTAGTTTCCAAATTCCGACTCTGACTTCAAATGGCACAAGCAGAAAAAGAATGATAACTCACTTAGCTATTTGGTTGACATAAGGTTTCAACTCCTCGGGTTCATAAGCTCTAGCAAACGACCAACAAATATAACAGGCAGCATCTCGAACATGGGAACCTACAGAAAAATTCCCTTTTCTTTCATCATAGGCTAAAGCTTTTAATACAACCGGAACAACTGTAAGAAAACACAGTACATCAAATTCATCTTTGTGTGATAGCATCAAAGCTTGGAATATGACAGGCCAAAACATACCTCTTCCTGTATGGATTTATCACCTCTTCATGGCATCCCATAAGTACTCAGAGAAAAAATAATGATTACTCACACAGCCATAACATAAAATGTTCAATTTAAGGATCTTGAAAGATAATGGTGAAAATTTAGAATATTTTTTAAAAAGGTGAGAGACTAATAAAAATCATAAAACTATGATATCTGTGGACATTAATGTAGAAGCCATCAAGGAAAATACCTGTGGATAATCTGTCAGGTAAGAGTAAACCTCTTCTACCTAATTCTGCTAGAGCTAAACAGCCTGAAATAAAAATATAGATGTTACTTTATATTGTTAGTAAACAATGATCTTTAGTCTTAAAACTTTCTAATTTTCTCCCTGATGCAAACGCATAACATACTGATCCCTTCCTAGAACAACTTGGCATATCTATCCAACTTAAATCAAACCAAAATATCTGAAAGATGTCTATTATTTAAGACCAAAATAACATCTAAGGACTTTTGCAACAGCTATGTCATACAATGTTTAGTTTTAGTGGAATTGCAGGATCTAAAGATGACTGACTGAAAATTGGAATGACTGCGTTTTAATGCTATCGGTGTCTAAGATACAGACAAAAAGTTAAGAAAACCTTCTTTTTAATCTAATAAAATACTAACCCCCATGCCAAGCTCCATCAGTTTCTTGTAGAGTAAATAACTGAAGAGCTGTTTCTACAACTTCATCTGCTAGAGTTCTAGTTAATCTACCAGTTACACGGCCAATACTAGAAATATATTCATACTTATATCATAACAACACAATTCTCTTATACACAAGCTCAGAGCACTTGCATTCCCAAAAATATATAAGAACTATGGAGTTGAGGCTATGAATTCTAAATCGGTTCTAAATTCAAACCCTCCGACCCCGCTAAAACTAATTGCACCCTGGGCCAGTACATGTTTCAGACTACTACTACTCACCCTTTAGCAGCTGACCATCTGACTATCGTGTCTCTATCTTTTAACCCTTCTAGTAATTCACCTGTTAAATATAGAATAACAGAAGTTATCTTGACATGTATTGTATGTGCAGTGCACAAGGCTGCAACAGCGGGAAGGACCTTACTCTCTCTGAGTGAATCTCTCTAGATCTGCCAATTAATTAAAACTCTGGCCACGTATTCTCAAAACGATCTTAGTGCTAGGATGTCTCAGAATCATTGTTAGAAGATAAGAACCTAGGACATCCTAGCGCTAAGATGGTTTTCGAGAATGAGTGGCCTGGAGACTGCATATTTTGTTAAATTTTACAGAAAGACAGAAAAATTTACCAAGAATTTCTTCCACATGTTCAGGAACTTCATCCTCTTCATCTTCCTGATCAGCCGGTATTGTCTGACTGTTAGTGATGGAGGTCGTATTACTTGATGTGGACTGTAGATTATTAGTAAGACTTCTATTACCTCGATTATATCTACAAATAATTTCAAATGATTAATTCAAATCAGAGGAACATTACGAGGCTAATTAGGGTAGATTATTAAGGGAATTGTAAAGAAGTTTTCTAGTGTTTGTATGTTCATCTGGTATGATTATTAAATCACACCTTTCTGATTTCTAGAAAAACTTGAGAAATATGAGACTATTATCGCAAAATTTTGTTTGGATCGAATCAGAATTAACACCCATACAAACCTCCATGATATAACTTGCGATTTTAGAAAAGTTAAACCCAGTCTTTGAATGACTTTAATGGCTGTTTTACGTAGTATAGAGTTTGGTTTTTCTTTTAGATTACATTCAGATATTCCTTCTAACACATCAGGAGCTGGAAGAGATTCAGGTTCACAATTGCATTAGTTGTCATGTGCTAATAATTAGATCCCAAAAATACGGATCTAATTGAAGTAATCTAAATTCCAAAAGTTTGTAAGATAGGAGAATATGCATCAGTATAAAGACTCTTAACTCCAATGAGATAGCAAAACAAGAACTGATATTTTGGGGGAACTGGGGCTGAACATGCTCTACCCCCTTGCCTCTTTTTCCCAAATTAGATATCATTTTAACATTTAGAGAGAAAAATCTTTGAGCCTTGACAATCCTGTGGCCACAACTCAGACCTACCACCGAATGATTCATAGAAACACCAATGTGGAGCTCATCTAATGAGAATTACGATATCCTCATTTCATCAGAGAGATAGTGTGGTAAATGACTGATTTATCACCAAGCCTTATATTGAAAGTTATAAAGCTAAATCTCACCATATTGAAGCATATCTTCCCTTTTACCATGTTTATATAATAAAGCTATAGATGATAATATACCACATGTTATATTTATACCAATCATTGTCTCACCTGAAATTATTCAATGGAAAATATATATTCATTGAGTCAAATGACATCTTCTTTAAGGGATTGCAAAGAGGTTTTCTATATGTTGTTTGTATCAGGGGCACTCAGGGGAGTAACAACATGTTTCAGGTTCGATTTTAATGTTTCTTTTCAGATGGCTACTATTTTGGTCTGTTCTGTTCTTTAAGTTAAACATTGATGATGTAGAAATCACAAAAAATCTGATAACACTTACAATCTGCTTCTTTGATAGTCTTCATAGCCCAGTCTAGAAAGGGAGATAACTTCACTTTACTGACGTCTGGTCGAGATAGAAAATGACTCAACATAAAGGCTGCAGCATCTCTACATTTATCTATCACATATAAGTAGCTCTGAAAAGAAGAAATAAATTATTTTCATAATGTATAGTTGCTAATATAATGCACAAGTATCAAAGACAGTGAATCAACCAAATTTTGATTTCATTTCATTACAGACATGACATAACCCTTTATACAATGCCCTCAAAGATAATTTGAGATTTTCTAGCATCATGATAATCATTAATGTAGGATTACTATTTTCACCATTTGAATGCCAATTTATCTAAATATTACTCAGACTTCAAATCATTTTTGTAAGCAACAACACTGAGGCCCATTTGTCCAGTTGTCCATTATTAAAAAACAGCTCTCAAAAATATTTTGTCTCTCTTTGAGTGATCAAATAACAAGACTTAAGTAGAAAACAATTCTTTGTTGACTGAACTCAAAGCCGTTCTTATGATTGTTCTTACTCTTGTTTCCTATACAAGACATGCATGATACATTATGATAATTAGAAAATCAGAATTAGAAATGTGGCGTTACCTGACCAATTTGATAGATTCTGTCCATGATTGGTTCTTTCTGACCGGCTTGACCTTTGACATCTAACCTTGTGAGGTCAAAGGGTATTTTACACAACATGGACATCCATAATAATAAAACATATCTGGTTTCCCAACACTGCAAAGGGAAAACATAAGGATGGGAACAAATTATTAAGAGCTGTAGAATAATAAAGGCCATTTTAAGTAGTGACAACAAGAATTACTTTAAAAAATATATAAATATAGTATCTGTGGTTACCGTAAAATCTGTAGGATTCTGTTTGATCAGTAACGCCATTACAGGTTCAACATCCACTACTTCATGTGGAAACAACCGCAAAACAACCTTATATCCTCGCATCTACAATATCAAAATACATTACATTATCAACAAATTATGTTTATCAATAAAATATGATATTGTCAGTTTAAAGTTGGTGTTTGAAAGAATTTATGATCATAATATCAAACTTGAACTTAGAGGCACAGTCATAATTGTAAACCATGTATTGAATTTGGGTTTTGTTTTCATCTGTTTTCTCATGTTGCACTTTTTTAAAACTATGCTTACTTCATCTATTCAAATAAATTCTTTTTTTTTTTCATTTTGAAGGAACTGTTTCAAAATAGTATTTTAGAATTTGAAGAACCTACTTTAGTAATGAGGTAAACATATTTAAATGCTTCATTTATAAGATCGGTTGGTGAAGAAACATCTCTAGTTATCTTTAACAATTCCAACAATAGAAATTCTGAAAAATAAAGTTAAATCAATAGGTCAAGCTGATATCTTCCATCAATTTAAACTTTCATACTCAACAAAGTACGAATTTGCCAGGAGGGGTATGTACATACCTTTGAAACTGGTATGTCAACTTGACATCTCTATCACAAAGTAACCATGCAATTCTGTTTATTAGCTAACTTTTAAGTAATATCTCTAAGACAAATTGATATTGCAATTGAAATTATACTAAGAATAGGCTACTTGTGAAATGACAAAAAAATAAATTCAATTCTTACCAAGGTGTGAATCAATTAAATGTGGTTGTTCTTGATATAGATCAACAATATCTGCAATAAAATTAAACACAAAACATAACATAAGCTTTAACTATAAGAAGAACAAACATTGCTGACTTTAATCTCAAAATTCAATTGACTCTTTGTCCTATCATATTCTGGGAAACTGGCACTCATGAACTAGCTATACATTTTGTTTTGGATCATCAAAGACATATCAATTCATTTGACTGTGATGCTAATAAATTTTTTCTAAATAGGAATTATAGGCTATGAGAATTTGTTAATCCTCACTGACGGACCATTGGCATTATGTTTCTCAGTCTACGCAAAATATATATATATCAAATGGAAGGGACAACCAACAGAATATCATATCCATGTACTTGTAGTCTACAAAATTTCAAATGTAGTCTACAAAATTTCAAATGTCACTGTTAAATGGATATCATTTCCATATAAATATGACAGAGCTGAATGGAGACATAGACTTGTTGTTTTTGGTTGCAGTTGGCAAATTACAGACACACAACATAAAAACTTACATGTGAATCGCTCAATGGATATCTCACGACTTGTCTGTTCACGGTATGTCTCTGGTAGTTTGGAGATTATATTTCTAACCTCTTCAATTTCTTTAAATTCTTCCAAAAAACAATCAACCTTTTCTGAATCATCATTTTTGTCACTGTTTGTTGACACTTTATCGACGGCCATTTTTCCTTAGTTTCTTTGTATTTCAGAGTTATCTCCCTTTGTGAAATTAATCCGAAACATTCGTCTGTTAATAATTACGAAAACCAAAATACTGCAGATGCATTTCCGTTAAATTTTAAGTTATTTGTGTAAAATACATAATTTATCAATTTGCTAAGACTTTTGGTCAAGTAAATTGAGCATGTATATTTATATTTGATGATCAATTTTGTATTTATTCGGTGGGTTTCAATTTTTTTTTTAATATTCGTTTTTTTCTGAGATTTTTCACTTGTTCGCGAATGACTATAAGGCTAACTCTCCACAAAGGCCGAGGATATTCGCCACCCGGGTGGCAAACAATTATTCGCCACCCTCATTTTTTATTTGCCACCCGTTTTTAAAACTTTAATTTCTCTAGAGACTGACATTATTAGCTGTGAAGGCTATAGCGTTACATGCATTATAATGTTTTTTTTATGTTCATTAGAAACGCTTTTTTGCAATTCCTTTCATAAAAATGTACGAAAATAACATCTACTTATAATTGATAATCGCTGTCCCATTGGATGGCTATTTATAGTCAACCGGTGTAAAGTCAATTTGGCCACCACTTTTTTGAATCACTTCTATGAAATTTAGTCTCGATATTCATGTCACCTACAAACCTCACGTGGCTAAGCATTTGTTTTTTTTTAAGCCCGGAAGCGTTTTTTCATGACATTTCCCGGCAAATTTAAGGATTTTTTATATAGTGTGTGGGAGATCCCACCCTTTGAAGATTTTTAGAATCGGATTCCCAAAAACGCGAATTCCTGACATTCCCTCTTAGTTTAAGAAAGCTGGAACAAAAGCTGAGGGTGGTAAAAAAGACCTTAGGGTGGTTAACAAGAATTGTCGGTGGTACACAAGAATTGTGAGTGGTAAACAAATATTGGGGTGGTATACAAGATGTGAGGGTGGTGAACAAGAGCTGGAAGTGGTAAACAAGAACTGCGGGTGGTGAACAGGAACGGAGGGTGGTAAACTAGACCTACGAGTGGTAAACAAAGACCGAGGGTGGTAAACAAGAGCTGAAGGCAGTAAAGGTTTTTGGGTAGTAAACGGGAGCTGGGTTAATCAATAACATCTAGGGTGGTAAACAAGAGCCGAGGGTGGTTAACAGCAACAAGAGCATCGGCTGGTGAACAAGAGCTTAAGGTGGTTAACAAAAGTTGAAGTTGGCAAACAAGAATTGCGAGTGGTAAACAAGTATTGGGGGTGGTAAACAAGAGCTGAGGGTGGTCAACAAGAGCTGAAAGTGGTAAACAAGATCTGCAGGTGGTAAACAGGAACGAGGGTGGTGAACAAGAGCTGAGGGTGGTAAACAAATGTAGGTTGGTAAACAAGAATTGTGACTGTTAAACTAGACCTACGGGTGGTAAACAACAGCTAGGGTGGTAAAAATAACCCAGGGTGGTGAACAATAGCTGAGGATGGTAAACAACAACTAAGTAGGTGAACAAGAGCTTAGGGTGGCAAACAAGAGCTTAGGGTGTCAAACAAGAATTGTGGGTGTTACACAAGTATTGTGGGTGGCAAACAAGACCTGGGGGTGGTGAACAACAGCTATGTTAATGAAACAAGAGCTGAGTGTGGTCAACAAGAATTGTGAGTGGTAAACAAGTATTAAGGGCGGTAAACAAGTATTAAAGGTGGTAAACAAGTATTAAGGGTGGTAAACAACAGCTAGGTTAATGAAACAAGAGCTGAGAGTGGTAAACAATTAGTTATTCAGGGTGGTAAACAACAGCTGAATGCAGTAAACAAAATTTGGGGTGGTAAACAGGAGCTGGGTTAATGAACAACAACTAGGGTGGTAACCAAGAGCTGAGAGTGGTAAACAAGTATTGTGAGTGGTAAACAAGTATTGAGGGTGGTGAACAACAGCTGGGGTGGGAAACAACAGCTAGATTAATGAAAAACAACTAGGGTGGTAACAAAGAGTTGTGGGTGGTAAACAAGAACTAAAGGTGGTATACAAGAACTGATGGCGGTGAACAACAGCTAGGGTGGTGAACAAGAGCTGAGGGTGGTAACCAAGAACACAGGGTTATTATCACCCGTACACATTACTTACCACCCGTCAGTATGGTTTATTACCGTACGCCTTATTATCACCCGTACACATTACATACCACCCGTCAGTATTGTGTATTATCGTACGCCTTATTACCATCCTTACACATTACTGACCACCCGTCAGTATGGTTTATTATCGTACGCCTTATTACCACCCGTCAGTATTGTGTATTATCGTACGCCTTATTATCACCCGTACACATTACTTACCACCCGTCAGTATTGTATATTATCGTACGCCTTATTACAACCCTTACGCATTACTTACCACCCGTCAGTATGGTTTATTATAGTACGCCTTATTATCACCCGTACACATTACTTACCACCCGTCAGTATTGTGTATTATCGTACGCCTTATTACCACCCTTACGCATTACTTACCACCCGTCAGTATGGTTTATTATAGTGCGCCTTATTATCACCTGTACACATTACTCACCACCCGTCAGTATTGTGTATTATCGTACGCCTTATTACCACCCTTACACATTACTTACCACCCGTCAGTATTGTGTACTACTGTACGCCTAATTACCCCCCTTACACATTACTTACCACCAGTCAGTATTGTGTATTACCGTACGCCTTATAACAACCCGTACACATTACTTACCACCCACAGTATCGTACGCCTTATTATACCTTAAACCTTATTACTTCAAATACATATTTCCACCCACCCCAATGCAGTGTATTTACCACCCACATACATTACTTACACATTCGCGATAGCTCCAACCATCTTTGGATTTTTCGACTCGATTTCCCCTCGTCGGTGTTTGGGATCGGAAGGGCTTACTTGGAAAATGCGTCTAGGATAAATGTGACACAATTTGGACACGCGCCTGCTATGTCTTATTTTTTTACTATTTACACATCTTCATCAACCTTTTTTTTTACTTACGTAAAGACCCTCGACAGTTGGAAATCGAAAATAAGAGTAGGCTTATGTCGCTGTCCTGACAAAATTTCCCTCATTGCACACTGCATGGCGTTTGCCCATCCTCAGTAGCCCATACAGGTGCAGAAAAGTAGGACGTAAAATTTTATTTTATTTCATTTTTTTTATACGGATTTCTTATACAAACGTATGATGCTAAATTTCATAGCAACACTAACAGGGCCATTTGGGATGTATGCTAATTTGGTGTAAACAAAATGGCGGAATTTCTACTTTCGTTTCATTGCAAGAAATTCAATTTATATTAACACGGTCTTGTCTGAACCTGACAAAATCCATTACAAATTACTCGAAGTCGACTAATATGTCACTGAAAGAAACAATTATATCAAAAAGGCTGACATTTCATGAATTTTTAGAGATTTTTCTGCCACCCGGATGGCGAATAGTCAAATTAATGGACGTGGACTATTCGCCATCCGGGTGGCGAATATCCACGGCCCTCCACAAATTATCGGATATCCTATAAAGTGTAATCCTGTATCCTTTGTCTGTATTCAACTTACTCTGACACTGCCCAATCCCTTTGTAAATACGATTAAGGGGCGGAATGAAAAAGGGCGAAATGGAAATCAGGCTAAATGAAAACAAGGCGGGATAGGGGGGGGGGGGGGGGGGGGGGGGAATCAGGAAAGGACATAATAGTAATTTCGAACGGCGAATGGGAAAGGCGAAATAAATTGGGGGCGAATCAGGAAAGGACATAATAGTAATTTCGAACGGCGAATGGGAAAGGCGAAATAAATTGGGGGCGAATTGGGATGGGACGAAATTGGAATAATCTGCATCGACAACCCTGGCCGGATTACGGAACCCGTCATCTTTAAATTTGTGTGGAGTTAACATACAGGTGAACTAACGTTACAGATGAGTTAGGGGCCATCCTGCGGCTCCGAATAGACAAAAGTTTTTATTTTTCAATATTTTTTGTCTCCATGAACTCAAATACACGCGAAATTTGTGTTTAACTATTCCCATCTTTCTTTCTTGCTTTTTAACTATGCCAAATCATGTCCAAACCACACCCCTATTCGTCAAACTTCCTCGGGGTTAATAAGACCAAGTCAAAACCCGTATTCGTGATACGATGACTGTGCCCCATTCTTCCATTTATACAACACTCCATAAAAAATATTTTTATTCATAAATATATTAAAACAGCTATGAGTTTTTTTGATGATCATTATTTGAAAATGAAGGTGACATTTTGATCTCTTTCGATAAATCTGATAGTAAAATATCGTTATTTGATTCTTGGTTCTCATCTTTCTTGGCAAGTTCTGAAGCTTCTTTCATCTTTCTCTGTAAAACATTACAATTTTATTCGACTACTATATCCATATTTTTTTCTGTGTGTACATTATAGACCTACTTGATCTGCAATCTACCAATCGCTCTATTATACCGCCAAATTGTCTACCCTGAAAGTTAAACTAGCGCTTTGCAGTAGATTCAGCTTTGAGAAAAATGGCGAGAATTATTGAGTGTTAAGATATGGTTATGGTAGTTTTTCCCCGAGTCCATTCTCGGTATTGAACAAATACACAAAAACATCAACTTCATACTGACGATTCAATCTTATCATTATTATAATGCTTTGAATACAATTTTTTTGTATATTTCTTCGTGGATATATGTTAATAAAATTCTTTACCTCTGGGTGTTTGACACCAAAATAAAGAAAATGACGTATTTTATATGGTAAACATGGTAACACAATATCAAATATTGGACAAATTAATTTTGGGTCTAATTCGGATGGATTCTGAGCACCTGGAAAATAAAGATTAAGTAAAATACAATTTTGAGTCAAATCTGTACTCTAACTGCCAATAACCAATCTTTAAATCCAGAGTTGAAAAGACACCTACCTAAAACTTTTTGTGTAAATAGTAGAGCAAGGTAATGTTTATAGAGATGTACAAGACATACAATTAAATTACAATTAACCAATGCACAATCTGAAGTTATTTTGATGTTTTGTTACCACATCTACTAGAGTTCTACATGGTATACGATCTACTCGTGCGAGTGTCCTTACAGACAGTGTGATATGATTTACACAGAAAAGTATATGTTTTTTACGCTCTCGTTTCTACGAGTCCTTAGGCGATTAGGGGCCAAAAATGTCAAGGGGACCCACAGACAATTCTCTTCCTATGCATTATGATTAAAAAATTTAAATAGAGAGGTCAGTTGTCTGAAAATCGCATAGCGTGACACTCTGAGTTACAAGAACATGTCTAATATCCAAACTATATATATATGAGACTATATATATTTACCTGTTATAAAACTGACTGGTAGACCAACTAGTAAAACTATCACTACAGCTAAGACACTATACCATAAATAGGATATTTGATATATATGAGTTAATGGTGATGAACTGTAAGAAGAGATGAGTAAAAAGACATTAAACAATACATCATAGAACCCCGGATTCTCAGGTAAGGAATAACTCATGTGATACCTAGCCCCACATTTCTGGCTTTACCCAGTTCCTCAAATGTGATACATGTTCACATCGCCAGCATGAGTTGTCAGGCTAGACAAATTCAGGCTAGGTTTGATAATGCCATATTAGACGAACCATTTGCATTTCAGAATAGTTATCATTCATTTGTGAGGTCGAAGTTATGAGTAATATAAATTTATGGAATGATAGGTTAGTAAAATACCATGTAGTATTAGTAGATACGTTAGATACAATCTAATAACAACGAACTTGTCAAAAGCCATAAAAAAAATTAATATTTGAGATACAGATAATTTAAATGATACCAATCAAATTACACGGACCGATAGCTGACAATACAGCAGAACGTGTTCTTTATTACTGACTCACTAAACACGATGTGCAGAGAGGTGGTAAAGTGTCAAACAATAGAAATAAACATACTAATCTATGTCGGAAGGAATAGTTATATTTGTTGTGTTTCCTGTTGGGTTGAATGTTATATTATTGAAGCCCATAACACCATCATCTAATAGAGTCCAGTTACAGCCAGAAATACTAACTGGAGATTTTATTGGTGGTATACCGGCTATAAATGACCCGAATCCAATCCATAATAAAAGCACAACACTCGTGAGGAGACCAGCTAAAGCACCCTGCAATAGTTTGAATAATTTGTAAAGAGGTTTCCCAATTATTATGTGTATAGAAAATTTGCATCATTCCAATTTCATTAAACGTCTATGGTTCATGCAATGTCACTAAAATTAAGAATTTTATATCGTAAAAGCTGCTAACGATCGTGACATAATAAAACGAGTATTTTTGGTTTTATGGATTAGAAATAGGCCCTACAACCTAAAGGTAAACTATTAATCCTCTGGAACTCGTAATCATAATCGAAACTCTGGATGCCTCAATGGAACATCTTATGTCTAAATATTTTTTAATCCCCGGCATTCATTTAGAATACAATAGCGGCTACTAGTAGTAATTATTAAGAAATTAATTCCAAGAAACTGAAAATCCATAACACAGCTATACATTTGAAAGTTCATAGAGTTGATTAAACGATAGTTCATACATAACTTCTTAAAAACATTTACTAAAAAACTCTACCTTTGCATTTGCCCACGGGAATAGCATTCCTAAAGTAAACAAACCCAGAGCTGGGGCACCCAATATTGAAAATAATGTATGTGTAGCCTGAAATTATATAAAGTATATTTCATTGAGCACAGTTTTCGTTTGGTCATATATGACTCGTGACTATTACTTCTAGGTTTTACATTTACTGTACATATATGTAATAAACCTTTAAAAATCGAGTTCCCTTTCCTTCGTTTAGTCACTTCACACATCATAAGCACAATGAAGAGAAGAAATACTTCAAACAAAAGTAGTGAATCAACGTAGAAAAGCAGGTCTGAATCTACCGCTAATATTATCTGGGTCCTCTCGGGCACCCCTGTGGTGTTCACTGGTGCCGCAAAGGGGTCATTTTTTTTCACTTCCGAGGTACATCAAAATGGTCATTGAGGAAAACTTTGAAAGGTAAGATTAGTCGAATGTAAATTTAAGTCCTTCACTAAATCAATTTTTACATTACCTGCAATATGCTTCCCATTTGTGAAGCAACCCAAGTTAAACCAAGGCAAACCAAACCAAATACAAATGCTGAAAAAATATAAATATCATTAGTGCACTTATATGTGCCAGACATCAATCGATTCATAATCACCAGACCTTATAATTTACATCATGGTTCGTAGCATTTATATCCTGGGACAAAATACCCCGACCTTTAGGTTGATCTAACCCACTATTCCTTTGGATACATATTTGATACATGGATTGTAGTCTAGATAGGCCCGGTCCAATCAAAATCAGATTGCAATTTCGTTCCTTGTTTCTGATACTGTACATCTTCACTTTAATCTAACGAATTTACTATCGCAGTCATGTCCTATTGAGTTTTTTTTCAACCAATCAAAGCATGCCATGTGAGACCTGTTTCTTCCTTGGGATGCCTGGGCAGAGAGTGACATTTGTCAAGTCCCTGATTGTGATATTGATATGAATTTACTAATATATTATACTAATGGACTGTTTTTGAATCACTATTAATGTTACTAACCTATGATTCTAGATATAAGAGTAGCACGACTTTCCCGTAGATCTTTTAAACAATACGGTTTAATTATATCCTCTAATACCACTGCGGCTAGCGCATTTAAACCAGATGATATGGAACTTAAATATGAAAAAACTATGTAAAGTTTACATCCAATACTGGAGAAATGGCAATTTATAAGGAAACGATATGTAAGACAACTACCGATGCCCCAAAAGTTCAGAATTAATTCCTTCTTCATGAAATACCGTTTCCTTTTAACCCTGCATGTTAAGCAACAATCAGCTGCAAACACCATACCAAAAAAGACGTAATGTGATACTTAAAATTTGAAAATTATATAGTTCATTAGTCAAATCAGCTATCAGACATATTTCAAACACCTTTAATGTCAATCCCTTAATTCATACCTTAGAGTTCCAGAAAATATGCAGGCTATAAATAGACCAGGAATACCAGGAATATGTCCCAAAATATCCATCACAAATAAAGGGAATAACTAGATAACAAAAAACAAATATTTAAATTATTTGCCAAAATCCTGTGTTAAAATCAAGATATGTTTATTTTCATATATGTTAATAATATTCATTGACAGATCACAATCACATATAACAACTGATAGTTGATTACATATTTAAAAAACATTTTGTGAATCACTACAGAAGCGTCATGTTTCCTCATTCTCACTAACGATTATCACGGGAAAAGCATGAGGAGTTTCTACTAACCTGATCTGATGCAGATATTAGTCCAAATTTTAAAGGATCACATGTACTATAAAATGCATACATCACAATACCAATCAATGAACATAAGAACAAAATAATCACCAGACCAGGGGCATTCAACCATATTGCTCTAGATAAAAGGAGCACAAAAATATCAAACATTGAACAATAATGTTGAGTGTAAAACTAAATAATTCCTTTTTTTGGTTGGGGTCAGTTTTGTAATTAGCTATAAGGTTTAGGAGTGAACATATTAAACAAATATATCAAGTATGAATTTTTCATTTGACATACATTTGAGCTCGGCGCAGAGATGAACAAGATACAGCTCTTTGAATCTGAGCTTGATTTGCAGCATAAATGGACGTCCACAAGAAAGATCCACCAATAACTAGTGACCAAAATGTGTGTCTAACTGTAGGAAGGACGTTGAAGCTAAAATTAACAATGATGAAATATGAATAAATGAATTCATAGCGTATTTCTTCTATGAAAATTAAAGTTTGTGATAAAAAGTGTGATTTTGTTCTTAAATGAAATGAAATTGAGTTTTACATTGTACATTTCTGGTCTTGATTGGGTTTATGACACCGGATTTGTTTTTAAAGAAAACAGTATAGTAAGAAAACATCGGTTAGTCTGTATCATTCAAAACAGACAGATCAACATCAAAAGTTGTCATTTCTGTTTTACTACATAACCTATGCTTACTCGTCATACACCACTCTTTGATTTTTATCAGCAATCTCCCAGGCACGACCGAATCCACCAATTTCTATAGAACCTTGTATCAATGCTGCTAATAAACCAATACCCATCATAATAATTTGGAATGTGTCGGTCCATAAAACTGCTTTCATACCACCCTGTTGAAATAAGATTTAGCTTTGAATAGCTTGAATAGAAACAAAGAATGAAGGCTATTTAGAAGAGATCACCAAGCTAATTCAATAAAAATAAAACACAATTACAATGGTATACAAACGTCTTAACAAATAACGAAAAACATAACGTCTAATACATGAACACATGTGTCATTATCAGATGAGGAAGTCCCCAGATAGATAATTAATAGCGAAAAACAGAACAATATTTAAAAGCAATTAATAATTCTAATTGATAGATGTATAGATATATGGTATATATTCTGTTTGGATTATGGTATACAATGTTAGAACGACATTACTACAATGACATGCTTCATGGACTACTTACTGCCGCCCCGCGAGGTCAAAACTTCCCACAATTTGCTTTTTTTCTTCAGTAAAAAAGAGATTAAATAATTAGAATGTTTGCAAATAAATAGGTTAAGTAGGTTGAACTAAATCTTATTCTAAGTAGTGTTAAGTAGGTCATTAAACTTACCAGCGTCGTGTACAAAATACAAACAGATCCAACAGCACATATTGCTCCCCATAATGATAACCCTGTCACTGAAATTAGTATAGTTAGACACATAGTTAATCATATGTTCATTCATAACGCACTGTTAATAAGTTGGTGTAAAGCTGACCATATAAAATATGTAAATAATTATGATCATAACGAGACCACATCACTTGCTTTGTATCTAAGATATATCACCAGGCGCGTAGCTGTAGGAGGGGGGTGGGGCTAGAAATAGATAACAGTTGTCCAAAGTTATATCAAGTGTATATGCATCTTCACTTCGTACTTATACCTTGACTGCAATAGCCACTAATAGCCATTTGATTGAATTGTAAATCGAGATGGACTATCTGATGATGAATGAATGTCATTCATTGCTTGTTATCAATTTCAACCTGGAGATTCAAAAATTCATTACCTGCATTTACGGCTAAAGAAGGGCCATATAAAACTATTCCCATATAGATAGTCTGAAAAAAATAGGTAATTATTGTAAAACAAGGAGTGACGCCCTTGGAAGTATTGTCTAATGATTTGGGGTACGTGAAAATGCACATTGTTTCTCATATTATCTCTTGGCATATGTTATATTTTGTATAAAACACATTAATATATGATATGTCTTTGCATAAGTCCTTTGTACAAACGATTCTAATATGAATATCTTTGCACATATATACAAAATTATATATATGTTATATATATTGAACATATGACTTATGCAAAGATATAAATACATCTCATACTCATTCAAACGCACGTTCATCACAGATATATTTCAAAAAAAATGTATGATATATAATATTTTTCTAGAAGTAATATTATACCATTTTTTTTTAAATATATCTATGATGAACGTGTCTTTGAATGAGAATGAGATGAAATCGGCGTATATATTTAATTAACTCTTACCATATGAATAACATATATAACTGTGCTTATAGTCCGGACTAATTTGTTGAATCGAAGTTCCAGATACTGAAAGATAAATCAACCGTTATATGAGATAAAGCTGTGTATCTTTCTTTCTGTGTTGATTTAGCACTACAAAGATGGAAATGGAAGGTAGATTTAGAGTGAGTGAATGCCCCAATTCCGGTTACCAGCAAAATGTTTAGACCAGAGGCGGAGCCAGATTTACGTCCGACCGGGGGGGGGGGGGGGCGAAATATCTAATCTAGTTATAAGATTTTTGCCCGAAAAAATTGCTTCCGGGACTGCGAGGGGGGCTCCGCCACCGGTTTAGACGGGTACGAACAGTAACCCATGTTGAAATCGAGGGGAATAAACGGAAATACACGTCTGTATCATATCTTGTTAAACCTTCTGTAAAATAAATGTTACACTATTCATTAAGTAACGGTAAACAATCCGTTAAGTGATGGTAAACTATCCGTTGAAGTAACCCATACGTTAAATAACGGTTAACACAATCCGTTAAATAAAGGTAAACCATCCGTTTAAGTAAAAGGTTATCCATCTGTTAAATAAAAGGTAAATTATCAGTTAAATACAAGGTAAATTATCCGTTAAGTAAACGCCTATCCATCCGTTAAGTAACGGTAAACTATTCTTTAAGTAAACAATAATCTATCTGTTAAATAAGCAGTAAACTATCCGTGAAGTGTCTTCCTAAACGCCTTTAAACTATATAATAAACTTAATAAGGCAATTACGATTAATTCTGACTATTGATTTATCGGATATCAAATTAATTCCTACCTCATAACAACTGGTAATCTTGAGTCTATAGAATACTGGTATAAAGATATGGGCAGTACAGGCCATAGTTATAACATAGCCTATTCCAATCCACAAATACATGGTGGTATAGTTATACATCTCAGCTGGTGTTCCTAATAATGTTATAGCTGACATGAAAGTAGCTAAAAGTGACAGTGCGACTGGAAGTATAGGCATCTTGCCACCTGCCAATAAAAATTCTTTCACATTTTGCTTTTTTCTGTCTTTTACTGCATAATAAATTCCAATGGCTGCCGAAATGAGTAAGGTGGCAGCAAATATAACATAGTCTACAATACTGAACGAATTCTTCTCTCCCGTTTCAAAACTGTATTTCCTTTCTGTCATTTTGGCCACCAGTTACGTATATTGCCTTTTCTAAACAAAGTTATAACCTGAAATCGAAGCAAATATATAATTATCTAACGATGTCAATGTTTATTTATCTGTTGGGGCAAATAGAAATCTTTGGTGTTCAGACAAACGTCTAGGCAAACATTAGCCTAATTTGTATATCTTCCTAGAGTAATGCCCTAATTCTTCATCCTGATCAGCATCATTATCCAAATTGGAATAACACAACGTTTCAATCAAATATAATTGCAATCAAACTTGATTCCCAGTTTTTACATTAACGTTTTAAAACGATAAACCACCCTCATTTATTCATAATTGGACTGAATTATAATAATACGTGTTAAACAATACAATAACCTTATCACAAAGTAGTTTTTGTAGCATATGTATTCTAGCCTGGTCTAATATAGCTAAATAAAATAATATAATAACAAAATAGTCCGTGTGTAGGACGATCAAGGCGATAGTTTACTGTTATGTATAAATTAACGGTAGTTATTACTGGAAAAACACGACTACGTTATATATCATACTTTTCAACGTTAATGTGTCACACTAGTATATTGAAATATATATTACCTATAAGAGATCTCCGTGGCTTGGAATGGTCGCCATACACTACATTATATGATAATCTATCAACAATTCAAATTCAATCCTCCATTAGATTGGGTTTTCTTAGAAGAAATTCACAGACCCGATAAAGACACGTGCAAACATGAAGCCGGCCATAAATCTCCGTGATGAATTGGAATAACGGTAACGGTAGTCAGTATTATCAAGACGCTTTTTGATTCTTTATGTTAATGAAGTGTACAGAAACAGACACTTATGATAGAAGAAAGTTTCTTGTTTAGAATTCCGCTATGCAATTCATTGGAAATTTTCTTTAACTTGAAATAGAAAGTAAAAGTAGAAAGTCTACGATATTTCCTGTTTTGGTCTATTTAAATAATTCAATGTACTAATGGCCTTTTTATGGGAAATATATTCTCACTTCACGTCAATACTAGAATAATGTTATTATGTTATAAAATAGAACATGTTTTGTTTTATTAAACTGTAGCTTGTTATTTTGAAATACTAACACCAAGTTACCTTTGGTTGGTCAATTCATTTCATATATAGTCCGAAACCTACAGATATACTGAGCCCAGTGACGTATTAAGAATGAAGGTCATAAAAATGAAAAATATATTCTACTTTCACTTCCAAAATCGTGTTAGATGTATTCTTTGCTTTCCTAGATTAGACAATTTTCCACGGGGAGGGCTTTTGACTTCAAAATAAGACCTTTCACAGACCTGAGGGTGGAGGGGGGTAGACTTGGCCCAAATGTCCATTCGCTAAATACACTACTTCTCAAAGGGACCACTACCCCCTGCCCTCGGATCAACACATTATATACATGTGTATTATGACTCTTTATTACTATACCGCCACTGAAATTATCAGTCATCGCCCGGGTTAACGTATAGAAATGACATTATAGTTTATACGTTTACATATTCCGTCTTCACAATGTCAAGCTAGTACGAACTTACGAACATTCTAAATAGCTTGACATTGTGAGGATGGAATATTCATGTAAAAGAGTACAGTTCCGGTAGAATAGATGTGAAATTGCTATGGTTTTATTTCTTTATCTAGATATAATGTATCTAAAAGTGTGTCTTTATTTTGTTGAAGTTCTTGTTTCGCTCTTTCTTCTTCAGCTTTTATTTTTCTTCTACACTGTAAATATTGAAAACGAATTAAGTTATTATATATATTAATGTATATGTGGATGTTTACTCTTCTGATACAATTTTTCATTATTCACTCACTTACGATAATTGATAATTTTCATTTGAAAAGCTCTTTAGCTGCTACCAATGTTTTGCCATTATGTTGTTTGGATTTTGGGTTTCTTTCTTCGTGTACCTAAGTTGTTTGTTTCTTTGTTTCATCTTTTCCTTTTGGCAATTTGGAAATCCATCCGCCGTATATTATTAAGGACAAATTCAATTAAAAAAACTAACCTCTTCATGTTTGACACCAAAATAAAGAAAATGACGTATTTTATGTGGTAAACATGGTAACATAACATCAAATATTGGACAAATTAATTTGGGGTTGACTTCACGTGGATTATCAGCACCTGAAAGGTATAAAGGTATGCTTGTAAAAGAATTGCAGATTCACATAATCCAAATCCAACTACAAACTACCACGATTCCAGATCCACCTACAACCACGATTACCAACAACTAAGCTGTGATATCAACTTCTGCTGGAAGCGTACGATAACTTGTCATCTACCAACCAACAATGCGCATTAACATATCTAAATTTCAGCTTAACTCTACAGCCGAATTAAAAAATACACACCTCCAACTGCCAGTAGCCTAGCCTATTGTTTACACACAAATGCCATAACTATACTTATACTATAATTGTATAAATCAACTAGTTTAACATTGCTCACCTGTAAGGAAGCTAACAGGAAGACCAACAACTAAAACTATTAATACTGCTATACAACTGTACCAGAGATAGGAAACTCTATACAGAGGCGTTAATGCTGAACTGAAATACAAGACGAGGCTTAATGTATAGATTATTCCAAAATAAGTAACCTTTCTATTACGAGATGAATTTTTAGCTGATTGATAGACCTTAGCCAAGTAAATATCAAATACTAGTCAAGCAGTACGTTTTATAGAACTAATTGCAAAAAATTCGACGATGTCTTAATTTGAACTGAAAGGATAATTTCAAGAGTAAAAACAACACAAGTTACAATTAATTAGGGGAAGTAACTCTTGTAAATATTAGAAATATCGAAATTTATTGAAGGTTATCCAAGTAATTACCACTGCACGCGATTGGATATACAATATAAAATATTAGACCTAATATTTATATTTTCCATAAAAATTGTCACATTCAAATAAGCATAATTACCAAATAATTTCTTAATCGTGAAGGGAAGCAACTCTAATGAGGTGCGTTAAAGATGCATCAAATATAACCGACGAGGAAGGTAATTTTACAAGAATTTGTGGTTACAAGATGCATAGTGGCTTCATAAGATTATTCTGATTACTAGTTTGTTGCAGTTACCGGTAATGCGATATCTAAATTGTCGGGATAAACCCAGTGTAGCAATTGATGCTTCGGTGATTGGGTTCGTCGAGGCGGCTTCCTTTCTATAAACAGCTCCCACGGTACATAATAAAACTTACTCTTCGACCTCTGAGGTTATTGTTGTATTGATGATAATTTGTGAGGATATTTGGTTGTACGTTGTCATATTATCTTGAAGTAAGGTCCAGTTACATCCATCAACGCTAATAGGGGCTTTTGCAGATGGTAGTTTGGCGAAGAACGAGCCGAATCCAATCCATAACATCATGATAATACTGCAGAAGAATCCTGATATTGCTCCCTGCAAGAAGAGGTACTTACTACAGTAACCAGGAATATGGTTGGTTTATGTGATAAACCAACAGCTAAGATATAATGGTTGGGAAACATTGCCAACGACGCCAATGGCAGCGTTGGAGGGACCGAGAAACGGCCATAGAATTAAGAACTTAAATCATAAAAATATTGAAACGGGAACAGAGCCAGGCCAGTGTAAATTTCTACATTAGAAAGCTACAAATATATGCCTACCTTTGTATTGGCCCATGGAAACAGCATTCCTAATGTAAATAGACCCATCATGGGAGCACCAAGCATTCCAAATAACGACAAAGCCGCCTGTAATGAATCAATTTAATGAGTATTCCTCCATAATAATTGTTTCAAAAAGTTATATGGTCGACATCACATTATTATTAACTAAGGACAGAGTGTATATGGTAATGTCATTTCAAATAAAGTGTTTATAATGATCTACTTTTGAAGAAAAACATGATAAATATAAGCACAAGTTGTTTCCCTTGAAATGCTAAATTGTTAATACACAACACTCACTGAAAGTTATGCCTACATGGCCACGGATGCCTGTGCCTTGTATTGCCCATGTTATAATTCTTGAACCAAGCTACTTACTTGTAAAATGCCACCCATTTGTGAAGCAACCCAAGTTAAACCAAGACATATCACACCAAATACAAATGCTGAAAAGATAATAATATCACTAATACGCCTTAGACATCGAAAGGTCTGTGACTATCAAAAGGTCTGTGACTATCAAAAGCTGCAGATGTACTATATCCCTATGTTACTTTTTAAATATTAGCTTAAAGCTCTCAAGGCAATATGATTTATATATTATTCTGATAACTGTTACTGTAAAACAAGTATGAATTATTGGCTTAAAAGATAATCTATTTTTTAAAACCAGGTAATGATGGAATCAGCCAGTCATCGTCAACATTCTGAAGCTGAGAAACAAAAATTATCCGATTTATGCTTCATTGTAGCAATTAATGTGGCGGTTTGTTCGCTAAGTCCTCAGCATTATTAACGACAGTGATTGTCATCACTTGTTGCAGAATCCACGCAAGACTTTTAATCTTCTTATATACAACGTATTAATAAACTACTTATTGATTAAATCTACATAGGTATGTACATTGTTCGTATTTTTAAATGCAATTCTGATAAACCAGACAAAACTATGTACCCAATTAGCTTTTTGGATTCTCTGACAGGGGTGTCGATTTTACAAACTCTAATGGTATCATGTGTCCCAGAATTGTAGTACTTTCTTCCAGTCTTACCTGTAACTTTAGATAAGAAAGTAGCTCTGTGTTCTCGTATATCAGGTAGAAAATATGGTCGTAAAATATCCTGTAGGAATACTGCAGCTAGAGCATTCAGTCCAGATGATATAGAGCTAAGAATGTAAATATAGAATTTTCAGTTTAAAGCGATTTTTTATCAATTGTGATCTTGGGCTCTCTCTTGAACACCCCCCCCCCCCCCCTC